CTGAAAACTTTTATTTAAAAGTCAGAAGTTAGTTGGCAAAGTAAAATTTCATGTTATTTACAATTTCTTGCTTTTTGCATTTGTTTTATTACATGAGATCCTGTAATTTTATTGGTTCTGATCTATGAAATTTATAATCAGAAGTGATCTTTAGCCCAGAATTTGCTTGACATGGAGTACCTAGTCCATAGTACCAATTCCAGTAGATTTTTAATTCTTAGAGAATTTAAAGATTTTAACAAACTATAGACTTTATTGATTGAAATTATAATCAAAAAGAATTAAAATATCGGAAATTTTCTCTATTATTATCATGAAATCATAGTGTCATATCTTTTTGCAACTGCCATAACATCATAATGATTCCAATATAAAATAATACAACATTATCTAAACTAAATATTTTACTACTATAGCCTGTAAGTAACAAAATTTTGCAGCAAAAGCTAGAAATCATGAAAATTCTAAAATTATAATGATAATTCCAATGTAAATATAGTAATGTAATTGCATTTTATCACGTTTGCATACTTCAGACTGAACCCAAACCAAACTCATATTCATGTTTGAGCTTGGTTCAGGTTTGGTAAATTTGTGTTTGGGTTCGGTCTGGGTTTCAAAATTTCAAAATTCACGGTTCGAGTCTGAGTTCGAGTTCAGGTTTGGCCAAACCTGGACCAGACCAAACATGAACCTAGAAGCCCTAGTTATGATATTAAATTTTTCAGTCTTTGATGATCACTGATTATTATTTTATCAGAACCAGTAAAAAATTTGTCAAATAAAAAGCAAAATTATTAAGTATCTCAAAATAGGTACAAAAACCTAGATAGCAAACTTGTGAAATTTTGAATAAAGTATTGTTTTAATATATATTTCATATAGAATTTATCATAAAACATATGAGTAGCTACTAGGACTCATACTTACACTCAGGGTCCTTGCATCCATGCAGAGTATATAAAGTTTTATATATTTTCTATATAACAATTCCTTCCTACATTTATGAAAAATATAAGTTGTAGATATCTAAAATAAAAACTAGACAGTAATACAAGATATATGTAATTATAACTATAAATGAATTAATGAGTTAATAATAGATCTGGAATAGGCTGGGCTAAATCTAGAAATTTGCAGGCCGGGCCAGGCTTTGGCCTATATTCTTAAACCCATTTGATTTGGGTCCAAGCCGCTGAAAATACTGGGCCGGTTTTGGGTCTGATAAAAACCCTATACAGGCCCAACAATACCTAGTAACCTTATAGTTAATATTGCCATCAATACGAAATAGTTATATATTGTTTTAATTTAGATAAAATAAATAACAGATATACAACTAAATATGGCATAGCTATATTGATATGAGACACTATAATTACAAACAAGAAATTACATAATTTTTAGATATATAGTATAGAATGTAAAATATCTCTTTAAAAACATATCATACCAATCCACTATAATTTTCTAATGCTAACCACATAATACATAATATCAGAATAGAGATTATAGGGATATTTCACACCCCATACTGTACAGATCTGATCATACTAATCTGTATAATTAGAAATGTTTTTTGCAGATATTAATTATACAGACTAATGTAAATAGCGAGCAAAATGGGCAAGTTGGGCCAGGCTTTTATGAGCCCAAATCCAAGCCCAGAAAATATTTACATCCCAAGCCTGGCCCACTAAAAAAAAAGCTCGTGAAGTATGACGTGCCGGGCTTTAATTTTAAACTAGGCCCGGCCTATAAAGAACTATCAAATAATATAGAATAGTTGTGACACAAAAATTTATGATTATGTAATTGACCAACTAAAATAAACTTAATATAGCAACATGGTATATATAATTGCATAAATTCATATGGTGATATTACATTCTTGCTGCACCATCTTTTTTTGTCATAGACTTGTTCTGATTGACTAAAATTTAGTATCTGCATTTTGCAATATAAATCTTTAGCAGTGCATTCTGCACAATCGCTAATTAATTACATTAGTCTCTAAGTTTAGCGATTATTTATTTGTTTAATTAATCTAAGTATTTAATATGGCTGTTTAACTTTTATTTAGCTTCTTATCCACATTAGTCTGTATAATTAATATCTGCAAAGAACATCTGTACAATATGGGGTGTAAAATACCCCTATACTTAATCTCTATTCCAGCAGTATGTATTATTGGGGTTAGCATTAGAAAATTATAGTAGATTGGTATGATGTGTTTTTTAAAGAGGTATTTTACATTCTATACTATATACATCTAAAAATCTTATGAAATTTCTTGTTTGTTTAAATTATAGTGTCTCATATCAATATAGTTATACTATATTTAGTTGTATACCTGATATTTATTTTATCTGAATTCAAAACAATATATAACTATTCTGTATTGGTTGCAATATTAACTATAGACTTACCTGGCATTGTTGGGCTTTTTTATTAGACCTAAACCCGGCCTGGTCTGGCCCAAATTGTAATGGGCTCAAAAATATGGACCCAAACTGGACCCAAGACAGGCCCGGCCCGCAAATTTCCAGGTTTAGCCCAGTCCATTCTGATAATATTGTGATTTTTTTTTTACTAACGTAGTATTCTGTAGAACTGAATAAAAGACTCAGAACTAATTCAAACTAACCCAGTATCACAGTTTTAAATTTAAACCTGTGACAAAAGCTTGAATAACCTGAGCCACAAGAATATTGTGAAGCTCCTAGGTGGCTAATAGAGGCTTAATGTTATAGATCAATTTTAGTAGGTATTTGTCTACCTAACATGTAATAGTTATTTCCTGGGCAGTTGGGTATAAGCGGGGCTGAAAGTCCCGCTTATCACATAGTGCCCAGGACATAAGTAATAGTTATATCCTGGGCAGTTGGGTATAAGTAGGGCTGAAAGTCTTGCTTATGAATAGATTGGTAGCGCAACCAAAATTTAGCAGATTGGCCCGAATTTAGAGTCAGAATGGGCCAGATTCGATAAATTTTTCTAAATTCTCCCAAATTTTTACTAATAAGTTGGCAGATTATATATTAAGTAAAATTGCTCAGCTGCTAATTTTGATATAGTATAGTGCTAGTATGATTAGCCAGTATTATTGCTTAATGCTGGCCATTATTCTGACCCTAAATTCGGACTGATTTGTTGAATTTTGGTTGCACTACTAATCTATCTCCTGCTTATACACATAGCCTTGCAATCTTGATATAGTAACCAGGATATAAAAGCTAGTAATTGTTGGCTCCCGATTGTTGGCACATATAGCAAAAATTGTTGTTAACCAAGGCAAGGCTGTGAGAAATATGTGGGTATAGAGAGCTTTTTCAAGACATTACTATTCATGGCCCGCACACAATACTTCTTCATAGTGTTGTGAGTACAAAAAGTCTTAGAATAGTAAGCACAGTAGTTCTTAGTAAATTAAAAGATATTTAGACATGAGTTTTGCCTTGGAAAAATTTTCTCTAACAATGTGTCTTAGACTACAATATCTTAGTTATTTAGAATCCTACTATTATAAAATGATGCCCGTATGTAAATGTCCTCTTTAAACTATCTAATTGGACAAACTTGCATATATGTGAATGTGCATTTAATAAATATAAAAAAAAAAGATTAAACCAGAATCGTGACTTTGTATAAATTGAAGATATGATAGACAAATTGCTCCTGTGATTTATATGCATTACATAAAGTGAAACAACTTATGAGCAAATTATGCGCATGACTTTATATAAAGTGAAGCAATGATGAGCATGACTTTGCATAAAGTGAAGCAACGATGAGCGAATTGAGAATTTGCATAAAATGAAGCAATAATGAGCGAATTAGTCTGACTTTGTATAAATTGAAGAATACTTAACAAACAAATTTTCACATAATAAAAAGCGAATTTATGAAAATATATGTTCTAATTAAATAAAGAATACAAAAAGACTAAATCTTTCTTTAGATCGATTAAAGGTTTTCCCTAGAATTTCTAGGAGCCCTAATTTCTCCTCAAAGTTCTAATTGAACGCATGAATCCAGCTCTAATTAGACAAACCCGATCATGTTGCCACAGTAAAATTCATTCAATCTTCATTTTTTTTATAAATAAAAAGTGCTTTTATAGAAAGTAACGTGAGGCGTATGTGTATAAGCTCTATAAACATTTTAAATAAATGCAATAATACAAAAAGATTATCGCTAAAAACAAAAAAAAAACAAAAAAAAAAAACAAAAAAAATAAAACAAAAAAATACTAAGCTCAAAAAACCAGCTTAGAAAGAAAGAAAAAGAAAGATAACTTACAAAAAAAATTAAAAAAAAAAACTTAAAAAAAAAAAAAAAAAAACGCCTCTTTCCTATTTTTCTTCTGTATTAATTTTTCCTTCCATCACTTTTCCTTCACATTAATTTTTCTTCGGCATCAATTTTTCTTCAGCATCGATTTTCAATTTGCCATCGCTTCACATTAAAAAATTTATATTAAGCAAATTCGCCGTAGTAAATAATTATACAAAGTTAAAATTGTTTTAAATTATTAATTTTATTTCAATTAAATAGCTTTGCACAATACAAAAAATTTATACATATAGAAAATTAATTTGTATGAAATACTCTTTTTATATGACTACACAATATAATCATACAAAGAACATAACTATTAACTTATAACAAATAAAATGCAAAAATTTATAAAGTATTTCTAAAATAAACAAGTTATACAATATGCATTATTGAAATTTTAGAATAAACTAAACTTTAATAATATTATTTATTAATTACAAAAAACAAAAAAAAAATATAATTTATAATAAAAAAAAAAAAAAATTTATTTACAAAACTTTAAGCGTAATATTATACACTAAATTAAAATATCGCATATTCATTTAACAAAATGCAAATGACAGAAAAAAAAGTGCTTGAAATAACAAACTCAAAACAATAAACCAAAATGACAAATTTAAAATTTAAATAAGCAAAAAAAAAAAAGAAAAAAAAGAAACCTATTTGGTTTCAGTTTTGGAAGCACTTGCAAAAGAATCATATGATCTCAAAGTGCTATGCAAGGATCTACCAATATGTTCTTTCCCCTTTTCACAACTATCAGAATTTTTCTTTTGATGATAAGCATTATCTTTCGTTAATTCTTCTTCCTAATTGAGATCGACAAAATTATTATCTTTAGAATGAAACTCACAATCGACATCATCATCTTCAATTCGAACACATTTTGATGACTGTGAATCATTTGATGAATCGAACTCAGGTCTATTAAAAGAAGCACTTGAGCTAATTGAAGATAAAGTTTCATTCTCTGATTTTTTCTTGGAATTCTCTGAAATATTTTAATGAGTGGCAAAAAGCCTTGACCGAATTGAACTTCTAGAAGTTGTTTAAGACACAGTATTGCTGAAAAATTTTTTCTTATTATCAAACCGTATATCAATATAATTAATATTAGTAGCATATACATAAAACTTATTATTAAAAATTTCTATTTGACCAACGACGAAAACCAATAATTCTTAAGGTCTAATGGTAGTTTTTAAATAAGCAAACCTAGGATTAAGATATAGAAAAACAATTTTCATAGTAAAGTTACACTCTTCACTGATATAATCAGTGACTAACATTTGAATAATAGCATTTTCATCATTTTTAACTTCTTTTGGCATTTCTTGAGAAACTCCAATCAATGAAACCTTAGTGGACATTAGTTTGAACCAAGTGTAGTAACTCTATCATGAATACTTAAATATGTAGAAGTCGAAACAGTCATCTAAAATTAAACAAAATTATTTATTAATAAATAGTATAAATTTTACTAAATATTATAAAATTTACATTATTAAAATACCTTTGCTTTTTTGTTTTTTCCATGTTGGTGTGATTTTACCTCCAACACAATAGAAGTTATCTTTCTCAAATACTGCTTGAGTTTTTAAATCTCTCAAACTTAAATTGACTGGAACAAACAAAGTCATATCTATATCATAATATTCATGTTCGATAGAATATCCACCAATAGCCCAAACTCTCACAAAATCAGTGTTTTCTTTTTCATATTGTTTTACGAATTTGATTCTTACGATAGTACTTGCGAAACACGGCATTAAAAAAAATTAATTTTTTAAAGAAAAAAATAAAGAAAAAAAAATACTAGAAAAAAATACTATCTTATTGATTATATATAAAAAAAAAACTTTTATAAAATATATCACTTGCCTGAATTAATTAAAAATATCAATTAAATCTTATCATAAATTCGTTTCATCATTGATGACTAAATTATTACTCATGATGATATCAATTTTTTAAAAAATTTCTCATAATATACAATACATATTATTTCATAATAAAAATTATTTTTAGTAAAATAGCATTAAAATGCATAATAAATACCTTAATATTATAAAATAATATATACAAATTATTTGTATATATAAACTCTACAAAATTAAATCAATTAAAAACAACACTTTTAACTTATAATGGCAAACCCAAAACTTTGCACTAAGCAATGGAAAACAAATTATAAATGAAAATACTATGAAAAAAACGGCAAAAAATGACATATACAAATTTTCATAATAATAACTTACATACTGCAGTGAATGATATTTATTAGTGGAATAACTTATATACTTTAAATAATGCAAAATTAACACCCTTTACTTTCTCATGGAATTGAAGATGCAATTACTGTTCAACTGTACTACTTACTGGTGAACTTTCTAAATTCTGCTATAATCATGGAAAGCGCATAATATCTCTATTATCACCTTATCCAGAAAATATTAACAACATCATTAATAACTCCAAATGTAGCAGTTACTCTCGAAAACTTAATATGCTGTTCTCATTTACAGCGATTGGAGTACAAGGTCAATTTGTACCACTTCTAGCTCCATTTTCAGTATGTATAACAGGATGTACTTATTACTGTATGTTACCTATAGATACACCTAATCATTCATTGCATACTTGTTATTTAATGGATATCGGTGGATACGGTGTATTCCACAGAATAATAGTAAAACCACGTGGCCTCCGGCCACGTGATTTTACTATTATTCTGTGGAATACA